AATTATCGATGGCTAACATCTGATGTCACAGTAAATAACAAAAACAAATGAGCTCCGAAGCATCGGTGCTTGTGATGGGCTGCAGTCCTCCTGCCTCCAACTGAGAGGGTAAGGACAAGGACCCGACAAGGGGGTTGGGTTGTTAATCTCCATATTGTACAACAAATTTTTAGTGCTATCAACAGTCTGTCACAGCAGATTCAGTCACATTATACTCAAATTTCTGATGCAAGTTCTCTTATTAAGTTGACCAGGAATGAATTACTAAATATGATAAATGATAATGTTTTCTCTAGTTTGATACAGCCAAAACTTTTGCCGAGTCATTTAACATTCACCCTGGTGACACACATTCAGTGACTGTTGCTAAAAATGAGGGAAGATCACAAATAATTCAGAAGGTCTCTTCACATCTCAAACATTTTCTCAGACACAACCATTGGGAAAAGTAATATTGAGGTTTTTAGCAGCACATCTTTCACTCTTGCAATGAAAGCCAAAATATATTATTTTTCCATATAAGACAAGTTTATTTCAGAAATTGTTAGGCGCTTCTCAGAAAACATGCCCCCTCTTGACAGCTATTTCGTCCTTTGACTGTAATTCAAGAGACTTTTTTGAATTAAGGAACTTAATTCTATCACACGCTCATATCAGATCATTGGTGTGAATGAAATCCTTTTACATTCCCAAATTTTTTTTGCCAAAAGACACTATTCTAACAAAAGCGAAAAGTCAAAGAATCTGATTCAGTTGTATTAAGAGCTAAGGCCTTTACAGTTAACTTATTCTGAAATGTTGAAAATAATCATCAATCTCCCAGTAACCAGCAAACTGTTTTCTGTGTTGGGTTCAGTGAAGCACTATTTACCAACTACGATGAGAGATGATCAAGTGATTGACTTACTTCCGATGGCCGCTGAAAAAGAAGTGGTCAAAACCCTTGATTTTGATGTTTTCATGGATGATTTTGCACAAATGAAGTCTAGAAGATATCCTCTACTACATTACAAGGTATCCATTTCAAACCTTATTGCTTAGCTGAACAATTTGATAGTTTACTGCAAATAGGTGAAAAATAAACCTGTCTAGCTGATACCATTTAATCATTTTTGGTAATAATATTTTGATATTAATAAAGTGCATAGTCTACAATATGTTAGTTAGTAGCATTAAATAAATTTTGACTTATGAGTGGCCTCTCACTGCCTTCTTTGCCGCCCACCCCCTAACCTGAAATGATGCCTCTGCTTTGTTTGCAAATTTTGCTTGCAAACAATTAGCAAACTGTTTACAAACAGTTTACTAACATTTCACAAACAAAATTAGGGTGATTCCTGTTTCCCATCTAGAATGAAAAACAACAAACAAACCATGTATGTGTGGACATGTTTGTAAACATTAGAGTAGCAGTGGTGATTCTCACCAGTTCAGTTCAAAGGTTTCAACCAGTCAACACCGTTCATTTAGTCATGGTTACCATGAGGCCCACTGAGAAAACTTTAGACATCATTGAGACAACAGATTTGTGGTAGAAAAATTAAAATGGATTATTTATAAACTTTACATATTCTTTCAGTGAAGAGATTAGAGCTTCACAGACTTGAGGCACTACTTTGGAGATGGTCTGTCTGTTTTGGTACTTTAAAGGTGTACATGAGACTTGTAAATGAATCTCTGGTCGCCAAATAACTCACTGTGATAGTCAGTCTGATCAAAGCTGGAATTGCTGATCTGTATTTCGTATCCCTTCGCGATATTTTTGGACCAACCATTTGCAAAAGGTTTTCAAAATCAGTGGGAGACATTCAGACAAAATTCCTGAAACCACTTCCATCTTCCAGTTTCAATTCTGTCAGAAGAACATCAGCATAAAATGTTCCTTTTCGTTAAAGCTTCCTCAACCTTTACCCTGTTTTACACTGAATTCATCATTAAGAAAATTGTACAGGCTGCTGCCACATTGTCCTCACTCACCAACATTCTGAAGAGAACTGAAGTCTGGATGCTAAAAGTTTTTTGCAAACAGTTTACATATGGTTCGTTAACTGTTTGCAAACATTTCAGGAACAATTTTTTATAAATGTTTGTTATTGGCAAACAGTTTGCTAAATGTTTGCAAACTAAATTTCCAAACAAAGTTTCCTAGTCTGGACTGACCTTACGTGTAAGTAGTAAAGTAATTGAAAGGACTGATGACCATTCTATGTTGTGTCACTGTCACAGAATGTTACCAGTACCTATAGTAATTTTGACTGATCATTGGTCCTGTTAACGTTGAATGCTTGCTTGGCTGACATGGAAGTAAGGCCAAGTGGTCTGTGTAATTTGTATGTGCTAAAATAAATTTGGTCATGTCTTGAGTGAACTCCAAGGAGTGGTTCATGTGTGCATGTTCTGTTCTGGTACTCAATTTCATTTTAATAAATCATTTGTACTGCTTGTTGGGGTATCGTTATCCTGCAGTATTACCTTTGTTTCTTCCCCTATCTTGGTACCATTACATACAACTGAAGCCACGTGCCCTAGACCTCGCCATGCTACCACATGTTTTAGAGGTTAAAGGGAAGCGTCCGGCACAACCACAAAATTTGTTACGGACACCAGATACATTGTTGCTATAATACCCCTGAATCGGTTCTACCTGATCCCTAATACCAGGATTTTTCCCTTATATTCTTATAAATTTTCAAAATTTACTCCTCTTCAATGTGACACACAGATATTTCTCATTATCACTTTCATATTGGGTGCATGAATTTTTTTCCAAACTTACCATTTTTTCTTCCAAATATTTATAAAGATAAATCAGCAAATAATAAACCAAGTCAAATACAGCTCCTCCCCGACTTATGGTGGGGTTAGGGACCCAAACCCAGGTATTATGATCAGTAAATATACCAATATGCATTACTGGCCACTTCGGACACAAAGACGGGCTAAAAATAGCCCTATCTCCCCCTCTTACAGCGGCCACTTTCCCTTTTTTGTCTCGTCACTGGCAAATGGCAGGCGGTGCGTGATGACAGCTGTGTTTATTACCGGAGTAAGTTATGGTATGTTAGACAGGTTTATAATACATTTTTATTATTTTAATACAGTCAACCCTCACTTTACGCGGTCCCACATTCCGCGTTTCCACGTTTACGTGGTGCCCTGCCAGAACCCAGGATGCTCACATTCCGCGGTGTGTGTACCCCTTTTTCACGGGTGAAGTATAATTTTTTTATTTAGCTCATAAAATTCATACAAATTATCCGGCCAGAATATAATTTACATTGTTGGAATTCTTACAATTTGATGATGATTTTGAATATAAACATCATAGATTTTGCATTAGACATACAAATTTTAGATCTAATGTTTACTCTGAGTAAATATGTTATCTTTTGTGCAAAATATATGACATTTATATTCAAAATATTCCTGGTCTTACAAGGAATCCAGCAATGTCAATTATATTATCCTAACTTTAGTTTGAGGTATTATTTATTACTATACCTTAAAATCTAGTGGTTTTCCCCCAAAAATTTCTCAGAGAGGGAAGAGCCAGCGAGTGTAGTGTGAGAAGAGGGGGAGGGAGTTGAGTCCATTATTTGAATGGACATTAACTTGGCGACTGTATTTCTCTATTTCTCTTAAGTATTAATTGTGTGCATGTACCATCATAAAATTAAAATGTTATTTACACAAGAACATAGGTATTGTGTCGGAAAAAGTGGAGTTTGGGGGTCAGCCGGTCTCTATTTCATTTAATCCCATATGTTATGTTATTCACTTTACGCGTTTCTCACTTTCCGCGGTACCCTGTGGGTTACATTAACCGCGTAAAGTGAGACCCAACTGTATACTGGTAATCTTATTTTTAATCCAGCTTCCCAAACGTAAGTTTCAGAATAAAATAATTAGTGGTAGGACCGTGTGAGTGGTTTATGATGTTCTCCATCACCACTCTTGACACGCTAAACCACAATATGTAAGAGGTAAGAATTTTATACCCGGTATTTAAGACAACCCCTAATTTTGGGCTGATTTTTTTAAGGTGCAAATTCCATCTTATAGGCCGAGATATACGGTAGAAAATGCGCTCGTCATTTGAAAAATTTTTTGGTCCCGACTGTGCAGTCGTACCGCTGTACAGTGGTCCCTCGGTTAACGAACACAATTCGTTCCACAGAGTCGTTCGTTAACCAAAAATTTTGTTAACCGAAAGTATGGAGCGCATGTTGAGCACGTGGATTGACGACCAGACCCAGCGCCTTAAAACACAGTGGGGAGAGTGAGGTGGCTGATGACCCCAGCCTCCTCTCACCTAATGCCAACTTCAGCAAGCAAGTTACAGCACATCAGAGGTAAATTAACAGTCTATGTTTAAAACTTACCTCACACACCTACGCACATAAACATTCAAACACTCACACATGTAAAGTACCCCTGTATACTGTACTTGTAAACATATACGCCTAATAAACTCAAAGTGTTTGTTATTGATGTTTATTTGATATTATGCCCTTGTTTCTTTATTTATTTTATGTTCTATATGTATTGAGTAAAACTAGTGTTAAAATCTGACGGCCGTGACCACCAGTATCCCCCCTATTTACATTATTTCTTATGGGAGAAATTGCTCCGTTATTCACAATTTTGATATTCTCAACAAGTTTCATGTCCGTAGCCTTTGCGATAAGTGAGGCAGCCCTGTATAATATAGTATTTTTTCTTTACTGTTTAATATTTTATATTATCAAAGATAAAACATACACCAACCAGCCTCCCCTCTCCCTGCCTCCCACCTCCCTGCCTCCCCTCTCCCTGCCTCCCCCCTCCCTGCCTCCCCTCCCTGCCTCCCCCTCCCTGCCACCCACCTCCCTGCCTCCTCCTGCCACCCCTCCCTGCCACCCTCCCTGCCTCCCCACCTCCCTGCCACCCCCCTCCCTCCAACTCACAGTGTCTCACACACACACAAGATTTCAAACTCTAGATGTGTGTGTCATGTGGTGTTAGGATATTAGTTAATAAATAATAACTGTCCCGAGTTTAAAAATGCTTTGAAAGCATTTGAGGTGGATGTAGTATAGATGATGAGTGGGTCTCATGTTTTTTACCTAACCTGTTGTTGTCACCCATTTATTTTATAAACTCTTCTTTTGTTTGTGGTGGAGGTGGTGTGTGGATTAGTGGATCCCATGTTATTGACCTGACCTATGTTATGTAAGGCCACTCATTGTATATAAGCCTCTCTCAGTCACTGCAAATTCAGTTGCCTCTGAAGATGCTTTGAATAAAGCAGTGTTTCCCTTTTCCTGTGTGGTTTTATATGTTACCGGCAACAGTTTCCTAAATACTCCCTGCTAAAACGGGGGGTGAATCTTATATGGTGCTTTTTATATCATTATTTATCATTTTATACATTTAGTACACTCACCGTAGGCTGAAGTAGGTTTTACTGTATCATGTGTCTGTGGTGTCTCTGTAGGTGTGAGCGTATTAACGGAATTAATCTTGATTTAGCGAACTAGTCACTAAATTGAGCAAAAAATAAAAAATATAATTCCTTGCATTAAATCAAGAGTATACTGTATGAGACCTACACCTGGCCATGCTACCAAATGTTTAAGAGTGAACTACACCTGGCCATGCTACCAAATGTTTAAGAGTGAACTACACCTGGCCATGCTACCAAATGTTTAAGAGTGAACTACACCTGGCCATGCTACCAAATGTTTAAGAGTGACCGACACCTGGCCATGCTACCACATGTTTAAGAGTGAACTACACCTGGCCATGCTACCAAATGTTTAAGAGTGAACGACACCTGGCCATGCTACCAAATGTTTAAGAGTAAACGACACCTGGCCATGCTACCAAATGTTTAAGAGTGAACTACACCTGGCCATGCTACCACATGTTTAAGAGTGAATTACACCTGGCCATGCTACCAAATGTTTAAGAGTGAACTACACCTGGCCATGCTACCACATGTTTAAGAGTGACCTACACCTGGCCATGCTACCACATGTTTAAGAGTGAACTACACCTGGCCATACCACATGTTTAAAGTGCTACCACATGTTTAAGAGTGAACTACACCTGGCCATGCTACCACATGTTTAAGAGTGAACTACACCTGGCCATGCTACCACATGTTTAAGAGTGAACTACACCTGGCCATGCTACCACATGTTTAATGTGCTACACCAAAGCTACCACATGTTTAAGAGTGAACTACACCTGGCCATGCTACCATATGTTTAAGAGTGAACTACACCTGGCCATGCTACCACATGTTTAAGAGTGAACTACACCTGGCCATGCTACCACATGTTTAAGAGTGAACTATTACTGTCCATGCTACCATATGTTTAAGAGTGAACTACACCTGGCCATGCTACCACATGTTTAGGAGTGAACTACACCTGGCCATGCTACCACATGTTTAAGAGTGAACTATTACTGTCCATGCTACCACATGTTTAAGAGTGAACTACACCTGGCCATGCTACCACATGTTTAAGAGTGAACTACACCTGGCCATGCTACCACATGATTAAGAGTGAACTACACCTGGCCATGCTACCACATGTTTAAGAGTGAACTACACCTGGCCATGCTACCATATGTTTAAGAGTGAACTACACCTGGCCATGGTACCACATGATTAAGAGTGACCTACACCTGGCCAGGCTACCACATGTTTAAGAGTGAACTACACCTGGCCATGCTACCACATGTTTAAGAGTGAACTACACCTGGCCATGCTACCACATGTTTAAGAGTGAACTACACCTGGCCATGCTACCACATGTTTAAGAGTGAACTACACCTGGCCATGCTACCACATGTTTAAGAGTGAATTACACCTAGCCAAGCTACCACATGTTTAAGAGTGAACTATAACTGTCCATGCTACCATATGTTTAAGAGTGAACTACACCTGGCCATGCTACCACATGTTTAAGAGTGAACTACACCTGGCCATGCTACCACATGTTTAAGAGTGAACTATAACTGGCCATGCTACCACATGTTTAAGAGTGAACTACACCTGGCCATGCTACCACATGTTTAAGAGTGAACTACACCTGGCCATGCTACCACATGTTTAAGAGTGAACTACACCTGGCCATGCTATCACATGTTTAAGAGTGAACTACACCTGGCCATGCTACCACATGTTTAAGAGTGAACTACACCTGGCCATGCTACCACATGTTTAAGAATTTAAATGATATCTGTATTAAGAAGGAAAATAACTAAGATAACAGAAGGAATAAAGTATGAAATGGAAAGAAAGAAATACTCGGAGAAGTTGAAGTAGAAAATTAAACAGAAACAAGTATCAAAAAATAAAGAAAAGAAAGATTAAATCAAATTAAGAAATAAAAGAAAAGTAAAACAAATAACTGCCTCCCCTACAATGGTGTACAAACACACGTACATGACAGACCCTCGATATAACGACTTTCCTCTCTATATAATCCATTATATGGAGGTTTAACATCTGACAGACCCTCGGTATAACGACTTTCCTCTCTATATAATCCATTATATGGAGGTTTAACATCTGACACACCCTCGATATAACGACTTTCCTCTCTATATAATCCATTATATGGAGGTTTAACATCTGACAGACCCTCGATATTGCGGACTTTCCTTTCTATATAGTCCGCTAAATAGAGGTTTCACTACACACCTGAGCGTGTGTAGGGAAGTTGTTCATGGCAGTCAGTGTAGTGTGGACAACATCTCTGAGAATGTGTGGATGGATCTGTTCTCCCACTTGCCCCTTGGTCAAGTTATACAAGCAGGCTGTGCCAGCCAGCTGGATGGAGCTCTGACTGCTGTGAGTATTCATCACTGGCAATATCAGCTGTAAGATATAACAACATATTATATTTTTCCTAAACTGAACAACACACAAATGTTTACATATGCACCTATAATACAAAAAAAAATCATTATACATTTCCTAAACTAATACACATACAGTATAGTATACGGTACTAGACATCATTACAAATGCATCTACCTGTCTTAAGTTCAGCCAATCAGTGCACAAAATAAATAAATAAAATACAGCACTACAGATACAATATACCACATGACTTCCATCTCATAGACAATATGGAGAGAAAAGTCCATTATAGTCAGCTCTATTATATGAAGACTTCAGTGTACGGTAACCACAAAATAATTAGAAGCTACAAAGTAGTCATCTGAGGCGTCATCTACCAAAACACTGCCTCATGGCCATCTGGTGAACTACAGTCCAGTACAGTAGTACACTACAGTAGTACAGTATAGTAGTACAGTACAGTCGACAGTAGTACAGCATACTATATACTAGTACAGTACACTAGTACAGTACAGTAGTACAGTACAGGATAGTACAGGATAGTAATACAGTGCAGTAGTACAGTACAGTAGTACAGTACAGTACAGTAGTACAGTACAGCACAGTAGTACAGCACAGTAGTACAGTACAGTACAGTACAGCATAGAAGTACAGTCCAGTAGTACAGTAGAGTATACTAGTACAGTACAGTAGTACAGTAGAGTAGTACAGCACAGTAGTACAGTACAGGAGTAAAGTACAGTAGTACAGTATAGTAGTACAGTACAGTACTGTATAGTAGTACAGTACAGTAGTACAGTAAAGTATAGTAGTACAGTATAGTAGAGTAGTACAGTACAGTACAGTACAGGAGTAAAGTACAGTAGTACAGTATAGTAGTACAGTACTGTATAGTAGTACAGTGCAGTAGTACATTAAAGTATAGTAGTACAGTATAGTAATACAGTACAGTAGTACAGTACAGTACTGTATAGTAGTACAGTAGTACAGTACAGTTGTACAGTACAGTAGTAAAGTAGTACAGTACAGTATAATAGTACAGTACAGTAGTAGAGTACAGTACAGTAGTACAGTATATTAGTACAGTACAGTAGTACAGTACAGTATAGTAGTACAGTACAGTTGTAGAGCACAGAATAGTATACAATACAGTAGTACAGTACAGTATAGTAGAGTAGTACAGGAGAGTAGTACAGTACAGTATAGTAGAGTAGTACAGTATAGTAGAGTAGTACAGTATAGTAGAGTAGTACAGTATAGTAGAGTAGTACAGTACATTATAGTAGTACAGTACAGTAGTGCAGTACTGTATAGTAGTACAGTACAGTAGTAGAGTACTGTATAGTAGTACAGTACAGTAGTACAGTAGTATAGTACAGTAGTACAGTACTGTATAGTAGTACAATACAGTAGTACAGTACAGTAGTACAGTACAGTATAGTAGTACAGTACAGTAGTACAGTACAGTATAGTAGTACAGCATAGTAGTACAATACAATACCTTAGTGTAGTACAGTACAGTAGTACTGTATAGTATAGTAGCACAGTACAGTAGTACAGTACAGTACAGTATAGAAGTACAGTACAGTAGTACAGTACAGTAGTACTGTATAGTATAGTAGCACAGTACAGTAGTACAGTACAGTACAGTATAGAAGTACAGTCCAGTAGTACAGTACAGTAGTACTGTACAGTGCAGGAGTACAGTGCAGGAGTACAGTATAGTAGTACAGTATGGTATAGTAGTACAGTACAGTAGTACAGTATAGTATAGAAGTACAGTAGTACAATATATTAGAGTAGTACAGTACAGTAGTACAGTATAGTAGTACAGTACAGTACTGTATAGGAGTACAATAAAGTAGTACAGTACAGTACTGTATAGCAGTACAGTAGAGTGGTACAGTACAGTAGTACAGTATAGTAGTACAGTACAGTAGTACAGTACAGTATAGTAGTACAGTACAGTAGTACAGTACAGTAGTACAGTACAGTAGTACAGTATAGTAGTACAGTACAGTAGTACAGTACAGTATAGTAGTACAGTACAGTAGTACAGTACAGTATAGTAGTACAGTACAGTAGTACAGTACAGTATAGTAGTACAGTACAGTATAGTAATACAGAATAGTAGTACAGTACAGTATAGTATTACAGTACAGTGTTACAGTACAGTATAGTAGTACAGTACAGTAGTACAGTACAGTAGTACAGTACAGTACAGTAGTACAGTACAGTAGTACAGTACAGTATAGTAGTACAGTACAGTAGTACAGTACAGTAGTACAGTACAGTGTTACAGTACAGTAGTACAGTACAGTAGTACAGTACAGTATAGTAGTACAGTACAGTAGTACAGTACAGTATAGTAGTACAGTACAGTAGTACAGTACAGTAGTACAGTATAGTAGTACAGTACAGTAGTACAGAATAGTAGAGTAGTACAGTACAGTAGTACAGTACAGTAGTACAGTACAGTATCATAGTACAATACAGTACTGTATAGTAGTACAGTACAGTATAGTAGTACAGTACAGTATAGTAGTACAGTACAGTATAGTATTACAGTACAGTAGTACAGTACAGTATAGTAGAGTAGTACAGTGCAGTAGTACAGTACAGTATAGTAGTACAGTACAGTATAGTAGTACAGTACAGTATAGTAGTACAGTACAGTAGTACAGTATAGTAGAGTAGTACAGTACAGTAGTACAGTACAGTAGTACAGTACAGTATCATAGTACAATACAGTACTGTATAGTAGTACAGTATAGTAGTACAGTACAGTAGTACAGTACAGTATAGTATTACAGTACAGTAGTACAGTACAGTATAGTAGAGTAGTACAGTACAGTAGTACAGTACAGTATAGTAGTACAGTACAGTACAGTATAGTAGTACAGTACATAAGTACAGTACAGTATAGTAGTACAGTACAGTAGTACAGTACAGTACAGTAGTATAGTAGTACAGCATGGTATAGTAGTACAGTACAGTAGTACAGTACAGTATTGTATAGTAGTACAGTACAGTATAGTAGTACAGTACAGTAGTACAGTACAGTATAGAAGTACAGTACAGTAGTACAGTACAGTGCTGGGTTATTAAGGCACCATAGACCTACTCACCATCTGTGGGTCTCCGTGTAAACACTCACGATGTAAGAAAAATACTTGACTACTAATACTGTACTGACGCTTAAGGCTGTGTGGCCACAGTCAAACCTTGATGCGATGCTAGAATCATTAGAAGGCCAGGCAGTAATAAATAGAAAGTGATACCCCAGTTAGCCGGAACAAATGGTGTAGGGGCCCTTCCGGGGATGAGAGATTTCCGGCAAACCAGACGACTTTCTCAAACCCGGAAAAATTCCCCATCCCGGGAAATATTTTCGGTTACTGGAAAAACTTTCCGAGTGTCTAAACTATGCATCTTGCACAGACAAACACTAGCTCACATCCTCAGAATGTTTCTGAGTGCTGGGGAGTTTTCCAAGAGTCTAAACTACCGGAGTCTGTAAAAGCAGATCTAATTAAGTTAGAAAGTCCGTTTGTTAACTAAAATAATCCAGAATAGTATATATAAAAGTTTGGTTAAATAAATATATTGAAAAAATAAAAATCTATATGATATGATCGTGAATGAAGCTGTGTGTTACAGCAAAGACTGGTATTTTCCACTCTCATGGAGCTGTGGGGGATTAGTGGGTCTCATGTAACTGACCGGACGCAATGTCAGGTGGAGGTAGGGTGGGGTATTAGTGGATATATATATATATATATATATATATATATATATATATATATATATATATATATATATATATATATATATATATATATATATATATATATATATATATATATATATATATATATATATATATATATATATATATATATATATATATATATATATATAT